TTGGGTCCTCTATTGGGTTGTTGAGAACACTTTTGCCTGAACAGTTTAAAGGCTGATACTACCTTATAGAATTCTAGAAAGTTAGCCTTGATTTTATATTTAGCGGTAAATGCAGTATAGCTTAATATAGACTTTCCGTCCGTGTCAAGGATGTCTTTAACATCTTTCACACCTGCGGTGAACCAAGATTTATAGAAAATTGGTTTGTTCTCTATTCTTATGAGGGAGTTGTGCCAGATCTGAGCTGACGTGAAATCTAGATTGTTGTCCTTATAATTTAGGGTCGTCCAATATTCCATAATCTCAGCTAAAAATGGATCTCGCAGATTAAGTAAACGAACGTCTTTAGGGCTTAAGTTTCCTCAGAAAACTGTATCTTGATCATCTAAATAGCTTTTTACCCATTTCATTTTTAAGGCCTGGTTAAAACTAGCAATATCGATCATCTTTAGCCCCCCCTTACTGTAATCGTTGATCATTTCTGTTCTTTTTATTTCGTCCCCTTTATTGTCCCAAAGAAAATCGTATAACAGAGCGTTAATTTCCTTTATGACCCCTTTCGGTGTCGGAAGGGAGGATAAAACGTAAACAATCTGAGATACTGCTAGAGCTTTTAGAATGGCAATTTTACCCATAAGTGTGAGTCTTCTGGCCGACCAGCTCCCGAGGATTTTTTTAATCTTTTCGATTTTCTCAGTGAAATTATTGTCAATATTGCATTGGCTGGCCTCGATGTCGAGAACCAAACTCCTAAGGCGTAGACCTTTCCCTCTGCCCAAAAGATAGGTTTACTCGAAGGAATAACAGCATTAGTATTCTTGTGTGAACCTATCCAGAGGGCTTCAGTTTTCTCATAGTTTGCTTTCAAACCTGATACATTTCCAAATATGTCTAGTACGTATAATGTTTTCGAAAAAGAGCGTTCTGAGCCATCTAAGATCATTGTTGTGTCATCTGCATATTGGGACAGTTTACAATCTGAGTTACCCAATTTGATACCGCGAATTTCTGTATCCCTTCTCACTGCGTTACCCAAGATTTCACCACCTAAGATAAATAAATAGGGCGACAGTGGGCGTATATAACTAAAGACTATGCAAAGGCGATACAGCTTGAAAGAAAGGAACTAATTAAAGCGATGTTCATAGCGCGGAAGAAAGGCATGAGCGCGAAAGTAGTGGACAGAAATCTAGTAATAAATGATAACGTTTATCATGTTGGTAACCTGCAGCTGAATCTACACGCTCGTAGAAGTTTTCTTTACTCAGGTCAGTGTAATTCGACTTTTCTCAGTTGCCTTTGCATTAATTGCTATTGCAACCTTTAAGACCGAGACTAGTACTCCACGTTTGCTTCGCCGTTTGCACACAACGGATTCTTTCCTTTTTGTATATTGTTCTAAAGTTAAACTATTTGGCGTTCCGTCCTTTCCGGATTCGTCGATCTTTCTGTTTGAAGGTATGTTCTCCCTAAGCCGCTTAAATTTTACCTTTTTTTTGTTTTTGTTTATAGTTTTATGTTTCCAGTGTAGCCGTTGTTTTGGTTTTTCGGTCAGTAGAAAATATTTTTCAGTCCTACGAAGTGTTAACTATCGTAATTTGCATTTTGTTTCTGCATTCCAGTTCACTACTTTTAATCATCAACAAGTTCCCAATTGACGAATTGATAATCTGTTCTCTTAATGTGAGGGGCTTATCCAACAACCTTAAGAGGCGAGAAACCTTTCGTTGGCTTAGAATGAAAAAATTTGGAATATTCTTTCTTCAAGAAGTCCACTGCACCAAAGGAAAAGAACGACTGTGGTCATCAGAATGGGGCTTCTCAGCTATTTTTAGTAGTGTTTCTAGCTCAAGTGCAGGGGTATGCATCCTGTTTAACAACAATTTCCAATTCGAAATCAAGAAACAATTTTCTGATCCAGATGGAAGATTTATTTTAGTAGATTTGAAACTTGAAAATAAGACTATAACCTTGGGAAACATTTATGCGCCAAACGATGACTCCGAATTTTTTTAAAAACGTTCTCAGCCACCTCCTCTCTTTCGAGTGCGAGGACATTATCCTGGGTGGCGATTTTAATCTAGTATTGGACGTCCAAAATGATAAGAAGGGAGGAAGACTGACCACTCACAAAAATTCTTTGAAGGAAGTTCAGAACATAATAAATTCGCTAGACCTTATCGACATTTGGCGGGTCTCCAATCCGGATATCAGAAGATTCACTTGGAGAAGAAGCAAGCCCGAAATTCTTTGTCGCTTGGACTTTTTCTTGACGAGTAATAGTCTAAGTTCGGCAATTACAAAAGCTGATATTTTACCAGGGTACAAAACAGACCATTCTTTGATAACGCTCCACCTTGCAAACAATACCAATCCCAGGGGCCCGGGCTTCTGGAAGTTAAATACGTCTTTTCTATCAGACAGTGAATATATTAATTTGATAAAAACAACAATCTCTGAAGTTGCAAATGAATACCAAAATAACACTGAGGTTGATGCCGTGCTCCTCTGGGATACAATGAATAAGCAAATTCGTTCAAAGTCGATACAATACGCAAAACAAAAGAGAGGCAAAATGAAGTTAACAGAAACAAATCTGGAGTCTGTCATAACGTCCCTACAGAGGAAACTGGAAGAAAATGATCGACTTATCTGAAACCAACAAGACCACTATATATAATGAATTAGAAGTTAAAAAATTACAGTTAGAAAACGTTGTCCAGCGTCAAACTCGAGGAGCCATGATAAGATCCAAAGCCCGCTGGCATAACGAAGGAGAAAAAAACACAAAATACTTATTAAAATTGGTAAAAAGGCATTTTAATACCAAAACCATAAGGCAACTTCAGCTTGAGAATAGTAGCGTCATCAAAACAGATGAGGAAATCTTAACAGAAGCAAAATCTTTCTATCAAAACTTATATGCATCACGCGTGCCTGATATCTCTGCTCATGACGCTTTTTTCTTCTCCGAAGAATCTACGGTAAAACTCGACCAACACGCGCAGGAAGAATGCGAAGGGCCCTTAACAAAAGAGGAATGCCTAAATAGTCTAAAAACTATGGCATCGGACAAAACTCCTGGGACTGATGGCCTTCCAGCCGAATTTTATAAGGTTTTCTGGGAAGACATTGAAGGCTACTTACTTAATGCACTAAATGATGCATATGAAAAACGATGTTTATCAATTTCTCAAAGAAGAGGTCTAATTACTCTCTTACCAAAAAAGAACAAACCGGCTAACCTTTTAAAGAACTGGAGACCTATAACTCTTATCAATTGCGACTACAAGATTGCAGCTAAATCCATAGCAAACCGCATGAAGAAATTTTTGCCGAACATAATAAATAATGATCAAACCGGTTTATGGAAAAACAGATTTATAGGTGAAAATATCAGACTTATTGAGAGCATTATTAACCACACAAATATGGAACAAATCCCGGGCCTGTTGTTATTTGTAGATTTTGAAAAAGCCTTCGATAGTATAGAGTGGTCTTTTATAGAGAAAACACTACGACACTTTAACTTTGGAACATCCTTGGTAAGCTGGGTTAAACTTTTTTTATACGAACATAAGTAGCTGTGTCCTTAACAATGGATGGGCATCCGACTTCTTTTCTTTACATCCTAGTTTCTGAGAATTACGGCTCATGCAATAGAATAAATTATCAAAGGCTTGCTGCTCCGGTCTTTATACATAATAGCATCATTCCCACCCAGCCCCTAAATAGGCCTGAAGAAAATTAATAAGCAATGGTAACAGCAGCATGCCGTAATAAAAAAATCAAAAGCTGAAATTTGACCTTGTTGATATGTGACCTCTTCCTAGTGTTTGTCAGTCAGGCAATCAAAACAAATAAAAATAAATAAAACAGTAAGTTGCAAAGAAATTACATTTCTGGAGATGCCAGGGGCACTTTTGTCGACCTATTATTATTATACGTGTAGATCTTGATTTTACCAGGAGCAGACACAAAACCACACTAGCAGAGACAACTATTGATTAAGAGGTAAGTATTTTGAAATGAAATATCTTACACATTCTATGTTGACTCTGACATGAACTAACTTGCCTGTAAATAATTTACATGCATAGTCAAGTTAGTTCTTGTCAACAAAATCGTTTAGACATTCACGTTTTGTCAAAGATGCAAAATGTTGGGTATCCATGACGGAAAGTTTAAGAGTGTGTCCATGAGAGAACCAGGCAGGAGGTGATAATGCTCAAATCACGGATTTCGCTCAAACTTGGCACAATTGATGGGTGTGGTGAGATATTAACCTCGACAAAAAATAAGGTCGCAATATTGAATTCCCTGGGATTTACAGGGACCCCCCCCTAAAAACGACAAAACCTACTCATTTTTGCATAATTAATTAGCTGACTTTGGTTTGGCTGTTCAACAAGAAGAAAAGACAACTTCAAATCTAATCAACTTTATCATCTTCTACGTTTATCAAACTTAATGCTCAGTAATTTATTTTTACTCTCTAATTCGATCTCTTCCTATTATTTAGCCTAAAGTAAGGACATCTTCTCACTGTTTTGACCAAACCCTAAATTTAAGGTATTTTAGTGGCTAACATCTCCCATGAGCAACAACCTATGTACTTAATTCTCACATATTCTTTGAAAGACATCTTTAAGGTTATCAAATCAATCATAAAATATTTGGGCAATCTCATACTTTATCAATAATGACGTAATATGTACATCTGACTTGACGCTTATTTGTCATTTGACCAAAATTGGAAGAAACGTATCATTCGTTTTTTTAAACAAAAATAGCACGGAGATGACGAGAAGTCACAAATCAGATGCGTTATTATCGATACTAATAGCGGAATTGTTAGAACGTGTCACCTGAGGCATGTTTTCTGTGTTATTTATGGACGTTTGGATGGATATTTTATGGAACGCTTGAGTAAACACAAGGAGCAAAAGAGTTAGTTCAAAACTTCGATCGGTCCAACTTGTAGGTGAAACAAGACCCAACAAGGATAAAAGATAGTGAATAAATGTTACATACACGTCCCTCAGGTGCTTTAGTCCAGATTTGCTGTTCCAGTTTCGTCTGGTCCTTTGTGGCGTTACTTCGTGACGAGGTAATGAAATCGAAACATCTTGAAACATTGCAGAATTAAAAGTGTCGGCTTTTCACCGAACATTATTCGAAGTCTTAGAAATAAGTTGTAGTCAGAAAGAGCAAAATCATTCTCAAAGGACAAGAAGGATCACTAACAATCCATCTATATCTACAGAAAACAACTACCTGCTCGAACACCCTCCATCTTTGACTTTAGACTCTGCCAAAAAGATAGAATCTGTGACGCCGGACTACCGGACTCCGGAATGCGGAATACGCTATCTATTGTTGTACGCGCCAATATCCTGTTATAACTGGTGTGTTGAAAATAGGTCGTGAAAGTCGTGTTACTTGAAATTTTGAGTTTATTCGATGTTGACATTAATTACCATGATAATAATGGTCCATAATAGCCCTTTTTGTAGTCAGACCGTGCCGTGCAGTTTTTAGACAATTAATGACTTACCACTGGGTATAATTACTTACTTAGTTGTATTTTAATCCTCGTAGTCTTACAACTATACAGGTTGGTATCTGTATCTGGGTATATTATTGACTACAAAAATATAATAATAACCGTTTATAAACGTGTTGAGGAAAAACTTCTGAGGAATACAAAAGACCCAAAAGGGGGCACTAATACATTGCAAAAAAAGTCGGCTAGACTTCTTTGGCTATAAGGAAGGTGTAAGAGAACAGTTTCTTGAACACAGACTAATACACTATATTCACTTCTCATTTAAGCTGTCATTTGCGGATTCATACAGTAGATTAAGTTCTCTTAACGGACACTCTCGTATATAGCGAATAGCTCTACTTACGACCACCATCACAAAATCCCGTTTCAACTCCGACACAAACTCTGGATTTTTACATTCCCGTAGGCGGCCGCGGACACTTAAAGGGTTTACCGGCGAATTAGATGTTAGCTTTGATTTAAAGCTCTCCTAAGCAGACACTCGAAAGAAATCTTACCCGCCTCTGAATGTTGTTTTTTTTTTGTTCATATCATGTCCACAGTCATATGGCTGTTTGTCACTGTTATGAATCATTCTTATATATCCTTTTCAGAGTTACCGTTTTTTCACATACTCGTCCGGTTACACTTGAAAATACAAACTGAATCGTATGCTTTTACGTAAATTACAACAAGGCAAGAACATCAGCGTAACCATACACTAAAAAACAGTTTTTTGCTACTACCAGTAATTTGTAGCTGGGAGGAGCTTCCGTAAGCAGCTATCTAACCTTTACACCACTTTTAAAGTGGTTGAATTCCACTTGCATAACTATCCTGCATATGAGATTCATTCTTGTAAGCGGCCAGATCCAGTTAAGGACACCTTTTTCTCGTCCCAAGGGCACCCTCGTACGAGAGCTTCCACTGTATTACAATTTTAGGATTTCTCTTGCATTTTAACAAATTTTCGCTTAACGAGGCACAGTCGAACCTACGTGCGACCACCCAACTTAAGTGACCTCTTCCCAATAAGCGATCACTTATTCAAAACATGCACCAAATATATTATCAAGTCAAGCGCTTGTAGTTGGAACCTCCTGTAAACGAACACATCCACATCCAATAAGCGACCGCGACCACTTTTTACGATGACAGTCTGATTGAGAATTTTCCATGGTGCGATGGTCTGATCTCTGCGTTCCCTGTATGTCCTAAGCTACTCGGAGTATGAGAGGAACTTTAGAAACAAATTAGATTTATCTATAGTATATTGTAACTTAAAAATTGCATGCAGTACATTCACTCCAAAAAGTAGATGTGTCCGCACTTTTCCTCGTTAAAGACCTCCTGCGGTTCGACTCTCGTAAAACCCAAATTTTCCTTGGGCAACCCCATGGGCATTATTTACTGGGTGCCTTCCGACCACGCACGGACCGGAACATCAAATGTCTGTAACTTAATTGTTGTGTCTGTCCATAATTCAACATCTGCCTGCCTCAGCACGGCACACGGCTTGGCACTAAACTGGTTTTGGTGCCCAAGAGTACGCAAAAAGGCCCTTCCGAGATCTAGGACGAGAAAATTGACCTTACCTGGGTAGGGTGAGAAATTTGAAATCGAAGTATTACAGTTGAAGTATCTCTCGGAGGGAATGTGGGAAGGGTGTTAAACATATGGAAGCGGTTGTTTGAGAAAAATATCTAACTCAATGTGAAAGTGTGGTGTATTTTGAATTCTACTTGGAAACATTAGTGCCACAGTTAGGCTTTATAAGACCCCCAACAGACCGTGCGAGATAAAAAAATTCACTGTTTATGACAGTCAAATCTGGTGCCAGCAGGGTAGGGCATTTGTACGCAATTTGGACTCTCCCCCGGGGGGAAGGGACTCCAGTATGAAAAAAAAAAATGGAATTCTTGTCGCAAGCCAATCTGGACGTGTCTCACGCT